TAAGGAAGCTATGACCCCTACTCTGGCGCCTCTTCCACCGGAATCTCCGCTGGGCTACTGAGCTTGGAGCCGAGATGCAGGTGTGGTTCCATCAGCCCTTCCTTGGCAAAAAATTGAGCCCCCAAGAACTGCAGCTGCAGCCAAGCATCGGGCAGCTCGAGGCTCAGCATTCAACAGCCAAATCACATCAGGAATCACATCGCCGTGCAAGTTCTAAAACCAATTCCAAACGGAGCAAAACCATGATCCACCATTTCCACGGATGTCCCCATCGAAGTAGAGAAACATAGATTCCGCAGCCGGTGTGCAAACAGTTTTCATACATTTCCTTCAGCAATGCCGTGCTAACAGTTTTCCTTCATACACACCCGCAAGGGTTGGATGCATTCCCCGATCCTTATCCAAGTTAGATGCATCCAACCCTTGCGGAATGACCATCCTTCGAATGAGTCTGCCTTCAATCCCGGAATGACCATCCTTCGATTGAGTCTGCCATTCTTCGTGTTCCCCACTTTGTTTTTGCGACTTGTCGTTGTCGGTGCCTTTTCTGCATGATCAGGACAAGTTTGTTCGTGGAATCGTCCTGATTCAAGTGGAACATTAGCCAAGCGGGCTTTGCGTAGTGTTCCTTTTTCCATGAATCTTTTTGGTGTCCTATTCTTCACATGTTGAATCCCCTTCATCTACGATAAGCCAAACCCTAGGGTCCTAGTCCCTTCTTGGATGTGCAGTTATATGCAAACGACAACCCCAGACAGCAGGGCATGGCACAAAAAACTGGTGTGCAGATGAGTCCACATGTCCTTCTCATGTGGCTGTGGCTCCCAGGTTGGACTCAAATCACCGTGATCACCCATTGATCCAACAGAAGTGGATGGACTCAGCCAGCTGTGGATGTCCGGTTGCCCTTTTGGACGACGTCAACTCCGTGGCCTCAGGCTGGTGCTGGTGGGAGATCCAGTCATTGAAGCTCCTCCCCACGTTTGGCAGGTGCCGGTGACGGGACGAGTGACGGTCCCGTCCGTGAGGGGACTGCAGTCCGTTTTGGACATGGTGGTGGGGTCAACAAGCTGTAGCGTCCCAAACCTCAATGACAGAGTAGATATCGAAAGGACAATTTGCTTTAATACCCACACCATCATGTTTATATATTGAACCAACAATAACCAGTATCTCGGAATCCCACCATCGTACGGATCTCCAGGTTGGTGTTAGTCTCGTGAAAAAATGTTGTAGGCTAGGCGGAGCCGGTGGCTCGAAGTAAACGCGTGGAAAATGGAACAGATCTGGGCTACTTAAGCGGTTTCGTTGCACAGTTGCATGCAGCAACGCCTATATAATACAAGGCGCCTCCAGGCAGCATTGTTTGCAATGCCTAGAACATGCACTTTATACAGACACTCCCAGTGATTCAAGGTCCATGCAACACATTCTACTAAGATCGTGAGGGATATACGACCAAAAGATAAAACAGACTCCCAAGGAAAGTATAGATAGACCTGGACCATTCTATTTCTACGCATGCAGGACAAACTGAAGCACCGGTGCTAGTTGGGTGTATTTGGCGAAATACTTGACAGCATTTTGACAGCGCTACCGTTCTGGAAGAGTTGATGTCCTTTTGTTTTGTTGCGTCCAGGAGTCCCCAGTGGCCGCAGATTGAGTTGACCTAGGATACAAGCCCCAAATTAAACTGAAGTTGTGTGGATGGTCTCATGCAGTGCTGTCATCAACTATATAGATTATTTGAGTAATGTGTGTTTGTCTCTAAAAGGTCATCCGGAAAACCTCGCTGAAACAGCGACAGGAGCTGGGGGTATCCATATTCCCCACAATACACAGGGAGCCATAGCCCTTTACTGTGAACATTAGGACTGCCCGACTGCAGACGATCGTTGCCCACATCGGAAGTTCGTCGGAAGTTCACTGAAGATGATGCACGACGGCTTGAAATCGATCATCGATCCACAGCAACACTACATTTTGGTCATCACCCAGACATACCCAGGCCCAGACCAACCAAATTGGAAGCATTCGATATATGGAGTCGGAGCCATTGCATGCAATTGCGGTAGGGTCTCGCACACGCTCCAGATGCCGCAGAGCAGCTTCGAGCGTCTTCATGCGAGTGGATGCCAGGAGACCTGTAGTGATGTGTGTTGAGGACATTGAGGACATGACCTACCCAGGAAAAGTGGAAAACCTTCAACGGTTTTTTGAGGATTGGTTTCACCACCAAATCAGGAACAGGTGACTGAGGGAGTCAGGCACTGCCAGAGACCGCGCAGCTCCGGTTTTGGTTGATCTCGGACTGGACCTTTCTAGGGGTTTCATGGGGGGTGTGAGAATCTCGGCCCGGACGATCCCACCGACCAGGCGGTACGGTGAAGGTGAGAAAGTCGTCCTGAGGAGATAGAGATGGCCGCGCTACAGTATCTCCTGGGACGAATGGATTTCTTGGTCATTTAGACATCTTTTTTCGAGAATTTAGAAGATAGCAATGTGTCAAGTTGCATGGGCCCCTTCAAGTTCTCGAGAAATTTCGAAGTATACATACACTCACTGTCTACTGCAAACCGGTACCTGCCAAGTGATGGGAGACATGTTGTTTCGTGTGAGGACGAAACGATCCACCGGAGCCGGAGGGGCGGCTGAAAACGGTGAAACCGACCAAGCCATTGGGAGATACGGTCTTGAGGGTGCCCAAGAAAACGCCAAACACGAGCTGGTGAAGAAGCACCCAACCACAGCTCTCCAATGAAAAACGCAGAAAAAAACATTGGAGAGCCGAAGGTCCCGCACCAAGGGTTTTCCAATGAAAACAGCATGGTTTTCCAATGAAAAACGGTTTCCCACCATTTCCCGCACCATGCGTCGAGCAGGAACTGGTCGAGCTGAGTTTGGGAGCGACTCATTCCCAGTCGAGCAGCGCGCGCGGCGCCGCTCTGCCCCGGCTGTTTTGCGTGGCCTATCGGCTCTCGCTGCCGGGCGCCTCAGTCAATATAGGTGGTAAATGCGGATCGGAGTGATGCGTGGCGCAGCATTCTAGGTTGTCAGAGCTCAAGCTGACAAATTGCAACAAGAAAGGAGGCTTCTGGGGAGTGGAATTTTTACAAGTTGCTGGTGAATGTGGGCTTACCTAGTATATAATTACTCATTGGCCGTTTGTGGAGGTGTTCATCGTTTCTCCACTGCAATGGTGTATTTTGTTGAGCTTGTCCTGCTGAGCGCGACTAAGCTTTCAGCACGTTATTCAATATTCACAATATGGCTGCTCAAATGGTTTCACATTGTTGTGCGCTATTTGGTGTTCTTCCATCTTCGACGTTGTCGGCCTTGTCTTCATCAACTCAATGTGCGCCAGCCAAGAGTTGTTGATCGCTTTGGCTTTTGCAAGGTCGGATTGAGGCGGACAAAACGTGAATGTTGAAGGAAGAACGTTTGCACTGTGTGTTCCAAGTCAAAGGCAGGCAGATGAGGGCAGGCAGCACACTTCTGTCATCACTACCAATGAGTATTGGACATGATTTGATTGGACATGTAATATTATGACTGCTATCCCAAGCTTCACAAGGTGTCATGTGAAACTGCCCTGACATTTGCGCTGCAGCCTTTCTGTATAGTGCTCAAAAGCTGCTTGCTTCAAGGTCTTTGCGGTTGAACCAAATATGGTGTCGCCTCATCGACACATGCGCATGATCTTCCTTGTGCTTCCTTACAGCTGGTGCACAATGCGCATGATCTTTGGATTCTCAGGCAGGATTTTCCTTTCTATTGTACAGAGTCTGCACAAATAAACAAGAATAAACATCACAACGCTATTTTCTTGGAAAAGGCGAGCCAACCGCCTACCCAGATCTGCAGTTGTTCACTCTCAAAACCTGCCAGTCTAGGTGACACATCCGGCTTTGCAGTGAGTCACTTGCAACCGGTACGCATGGGTACACCGCAGGGTCCGCATGTGATGGTTCGCCTCGGAGCCCCAAAGAGTCACAGAGTCACTCAGTGCTGCGCTGCAAAGTGCACACCAAGTCCATGCAGAAAGACGATTTGAGGTTGGTTGACTTGGGCTTTCTGGCATCTCAAGCAGGGCTATGGTGGAAAATCGTAGTGATTGATCAGCATCAAGGCGAACAAGACAAAAAAATCGAACACCTGCAGGTTGATCAGAATGCAATTGTGCATCTAGTTGAGCAACAAGGTCAACGACAAGATGCTCATCTTGCAATTGCTTTTGCCAGCACTCTGTTTTTTTTGTGTTTGGAGTTTTTTTTGTACCGATTGTCCTTCTCCCAAAGTAACCGTCAGGAGGACAAAGGTTTCTATCAGCAGAACAACTTTTTAACAAGCCCAGATTGGGACGAGTTTGTAATGTCCGTGTTTTATTCTGCTGCGATCGCTGCGTTCGTAGTTTTGGTTGTTTGTATTCTTTTATATTTTGTTGTGGCTATGATTGAAGGACAGCTTTCCTTTGACTTGATTTGTCAATTGCTGCCTTGGCTTTGGAATCTTTCCAAAGGAGAACGACTCCGCCTTTTTGCAGAAAAGTTGCCGGGTGCAGCTGCGTGCTAGCTGCTTCATTTGAAGGCGCCTGTGTGCTTGTCACTTTGTCATTGATCCGGCCAGGTACAGAATGGTACAGATGCTACAGCCGTTCACCATCACGCGGTGTTCCCTTCGGTGCTTAGAGCTCAACATCGAAGGAGAATTTGCAATTGGGCAAGTGCTTGGGTAAACAACTTGACCATACGAATTGTTCATGTGTTTCGAGATAAATGGTTTTGAGTTTTGAAGCACCTGCTTTGAGTACAATTGGTTCTGAGACCCCCAGGTCTTGGTTATCCTTGGTCTCTGGGCATGTTCACGTGTTGCTAATTGAACGTGACAGATCAATGATACCCAGCACACTCAAAGTGCCGCGATATATGTTTTGATATATAGTGGTCCTTTGGGGCATGTTGAATATCAAAAGCCAAAAGAGGTCACTTAGAACAAGGTCCCTCGATATCAAAAGGTTCTTTATATATATATATAATATTCCAGATGTTCCACCACCACCGATTCGACCCTTCGTCCTCCGGTCATTTGTGGCCCCGCGCAACTTCATCGTCTTCAACGAGACAAAAGTCTTCAATCAGACAAAAGGCCAGGAAGCTGGATTGGAACGGGAAACGGGATTGTGGGATATATTGTATCGAAACATGTTTCAGTCATCCAGCTTTCGGAGCCATCGCACACATGTGTAACATGCATAGCGAAGCAACACCTGTCGACCCAACTTTCGAGGGTGACACATCACCGCCATTGATTTGCACTTCCCTACCTTAGTGGTAGTGAACCGTCCAAAACATGCATGCGTGCAGTGCACAAATGATGTTCTTCAAAAACATCAAAAATAACCAAAGCTCCAGATCCTCTTCACAGTAGCAACTGTTCCAGAGGGGCGCCATGTAAGGCGCTTGATCTAAGACCACATGGTCGATCCTCAAATCACGTGGCTTGCTTATGTTCCACCTGCAGCTGCAAGACTCATGAGTCATAAGTTCCAGACTTGTGGCCCTTAGGCCTCAGCTTCCACCGAAGTTTTCCCTGAGAAATCGATTCTGATGCCAAGCCTAAGCTCGCACTGAACAACCCAAAGGCTTGAAGAACGATGTACACTGTCCTGTTGGAGCAAGAAACTGTTTAGTGCACTGTGGAGGAGGAAGATGGCCTTCTGCAACCGTTCCAAGTTCACTTGTGTTAACATCGGTCCCTGCTTCAAATTGATCGCTTCCCTCGCTGCCACTGCGTTCACAAATACGGCAGCTCGCAGCCTCACATGTGAAGGCAATATACCTCTGCCGACATGTGTCTCCAGCCAAGGGACTGTGCATGTACTGAGTCAGGGTTTTGTGCTGCCAATGCCAGGGTCACGCCCATAAGCCATTTGGCCAGGATGGTGGACTCCTGAATGTGAACTTAATCGGACTCCTGCGAACTTCATCCAACATGGTTTTGAATCAACATGATCCAAGCGTCCATTCCATTGAAGTGCTTTTGCTTGAACGAAGGAAACTGCTTGGCATCAGGGAGAAGATCTTTCCTGAAAAGACATGGTGTATGGCGATGCTGCACAGTGGTCATTTGCACCTGATAAAATGCCGCAAAGGAGCATGCAATGGAACTGCCCTCGGTTTCCTGAGTAAAACTTGCTACATCAGCTCTATATAGAACGCCTTCTGCAATATAGTCGACAAGAAACGAATCTTGTGACGTTTGCACATCGCTGAGAACTCCTGATAGGCTGCAAGAACACGTTCATCAGCTTTTCCTCCTGAGGCAGGTTCGAAAGGTATACCATACACCATGCAGAAAAAAAAGCAGCTGGCCTGGCCAATACCGTTCTTCTTCACATATCTCGACGATAGCCTGTAGCATTGTGAAATTGAGGCTGCATCAAACGATATATATTTGCATGCAAATGAGAAACACTGGCACTGGCATCTGGCAGCATAGCCAAATCAAAGATATGCAACCAATCATAATGAACCATCCAAGGCAGGAAGCCTGGTAGTCTAACCCAGGCATTCGAATCACACAGCTCAGCCACAAATTGGTTCATGTCCAACAACGTCTTTCGATGCTCTGCCGTTTCTCCATACTGTGTGTACAGCAGTGGAGAGCCAGGCACACGGCTGGCCATGCAACTGCCACAGACATTGTGGCTGACCCATGTCCTCCTGAAGTGGAACAATTTCGCCAGTGCCTTCTCGTCTCCTCGAATGGCCACAAGAATGCCCCGCCATGGGCCAGCAATCCTCTCACCAGCGATTCCACTTCTATGGTTCATGGGTTCATTCCAAGGCGAATGCTGCAGCCACCTTCCAGTGGCCAGTTCTGTAAAGCTCCACACTAGCCAGCTGTCAAGACAATCGTAAGAGCTGGAGCATGCCCTTGCGTTGTCAAGAACATAGCAAACATAACGGCATTCAAATGGGCTGCCGCCAACTAAGGCAGATCCAAAGCTAAAGACCAAAAAGCTTCGCCTTCTGTGTGACTCACCATCGTCACAATGGGCCACAAGAGGAACGCATCGACTGAGGTCTGTCGCCTTGCTAGCATGGCATTCACACGATACTCAAACAAATGTTAATCATGATCCATCGAGGATTTCAATGCTGTTGAAAGAGCTATAACTGCGATAAGTTACAGGATCTGATAAAACTGGGTGCTGCTTGAAGAACTCTGATGTTTTGAGCGTTTGCCAAAACTTCTCGAGATCCTAGGATGGAAGTGCTTGCAGCCTGCAAACTGAATCAGTCCACATTGAGGCATACAGGGCCACTCATGCATACAAGGTGCTCCCGGTTTTCCCAAAAATCTTTGGGAAAAAAGCTTCGAGTCATACTGATAGATGTGTGCAAACCTAATTCAGGCTGAACATCGTTTGTGCTAGAGCTCAGGAACCATTGCCACAAAGGAACACTTCAGATGGAAGAAAAATATGCCATGAATCGAGGAAATACCTTTCTGGCAAGGACTTGTCCTCCAAGACAATGTCCACCCTTAGATCCAAATCTACTCCATGGAAACTACTTGATCACCATGCATGGCATGATCGCAACATATGTTAGCCATGGTTCTCAAACAGTTGGGGCAACATTTGCCTCCATGGCTGTTTGTTCAGCCACTTCCAAAAATTTCGAGGTGCATTATGTCCACTTGCACGCTGGGACCGAAGCAAATCCTGCATGTTGGTCCTGAGGAATGTCTACCAGCTAGTATACTTCAGGGATCTTGTTTTTCACAAATATATACTGCTCGAGAGATATAATGTTTCACATCCCAAGCTACGGAAGAAGCCTGCGTGGAAACCGCCTGTGAATGGCTTCCATCATTTTCATCAATGTGGATACACTCACCTGCAGCGTGCATGGACTTAAGAAAAGCTGTTTATGCACATGCTAGGTGAAACATGTGATATCTCTCGTCTCTTCCTCTCTCTCGATGTATGTATGTACATATATATATATATAGCATAGTAACTTGCAACCAAACCACTTTCCGACCCAATTCGAGGAACTCTTCCACAAGGTCCATGGCTGCTGTCTGGGTATGTTGGCTCTTCATGGCCCTATGCATATGTATAAGGCCCATAGGTCCCCATGAAAACATATATGTTCAAGGCTGCCTCGATCCATGGACTAAAGTCAATCAAACACCAATCCATATCGATATAGTTGTGTTTTTGTGTTGTCAAAACCTTGTGCATCAACAAAAACACATCGGTACCAAGGGCTAGTGTACCCCTATGTACAAAAGCCCCTGAGCAAACATGACAGTTCGATCCAGTGGGTTGGTATTGAACAGTGAGGACCTTTCGAAACGAAACGACACAGCCGCAGTCCCACCATTTTCCCTGTTCACTATTCACGACCTAGATCGTGCTTCAGTGATCCCCATTGGATTGGTCACTGCTTACCTCTCAAGCAACATGGGTCCACATGATCTTGTATGAATGAACAAATTCAATTGTAATAGCGGTTCGAGGTGTAAGAACTTCAGGCCCAAGACACTTGATCTATGGCTGGCAGTGCTGCTGCTGGCACTTCTTTCAGTGCTTTTGCACACAATTGCAGCTGACTGTGCTGCGTGTGTGCCTGGAGACTTTGTGAACCTGTATATAAACATAGCTAGCTTAGCTATAGACTTGAAACATCTTGAACCATCAACGTCCGAGTTTATGAGGCCCACAACAAAATCAACGCTCTGGTTCCATGAGTGGGATTTGATGGGATCACCAGCAAATTGGAAGGTTTCCAAAGCGGTATTTCCGAAGTTGCCATGAACAACATAGATCTACTTAGTCATCCCCAGAACCCACTTCTTCCCCAGAGCTCTCATTTGGAGGTTCATCATTGCCACCTCCTCCTTTGCGCTTCGAAGGAGCCTTCACATTCGAGACTCGCTTCTTTCCATCGCGGACATCACACTCGATTGTAGCAAGAGAAGGTTTCAACCTATCAAGCAAAGTGTTGATATCCTCACAAGTCAGGGAGGAAGCTGGCGCGTTAGACATCTCATTGACCTCTTCCAGCATTGGAAGAAGTTCCTTATGGTGACCCTGCAAGACAGCTGCCTTAGATCATTTGTGTGTTTGGTTTATGGACTATATCGATGGCACATGTATAATGGTGGTCATGGTGAAATCATCGAATTGATTTGATACAAGTTGCAAGCTCTTCGGAGTTCCTGACTCCGTGAGTGAGGAATTCTAGCAAGAGATCTGGAATAGTCTTGTCGAGCTTCTTCAACCTGAGGTGGAAGTATATATGGATTGAGGGGTTTAAATCAAAGGAAACAATACAAGCAAAGTAACTTCGAAGCCATCTTCTTTAGCTCATCAATTGCCAACTGCTCTGGTGTTTTTTCCTTTTTAGGTTTCTTCGATTGGATGCGACCAGTCTTTTGATCCACCAGCGTTGCACCTTCCAGGGATTGAAGACCTTGTCCAAGCTGTTTGGCCTCAACAGTACTGAAACAAAAACACCCTAGGGCTGGTGGGGTGTATGTGGGTTTCTTTGGGCTTTTTTGAAGCCTCCAGGGAAACCATTTGGAATTCACCAAGTGCCAGGATTGCCAGTAGTATACATTGCAATGTTCCATGGGCTGGTGCATGACGGTTGTTTAACAGCCCCTTCCTTTCCCTCCCTCAAACAACATATAACGGCTCCAGAGCCAGTTGCCAAAAAAATAATCGCACTGAACCCTGAACCCCCAAAGATTCTGAATTTCGAGACTGTTTTAAACTGATACCAAGTTACCAAAAGGGCTTTCATCTCAGGACTCCTCACACGGCCACCCACTTGCATCATAGTTTCACCACGTTGTCCAGTCGATGTTTGCTCCACAATCTCACGCAGGACCTTATACATCCTGGCCCTTGCAACACCTGGCGCTTGTGGGTGTGGCACACCTTGCTGGCCTCCGAGGCAGCGGTTGGGGTGGTGGTCATGGGCTGGAAGGCACAGTGGACAGCTGCATGGTTACAGTTAGACTGGCATAAAGAGCGCCTTTGATCACTTCTTGGATGAATTTCTTGGCTTCACTGGATTTTCCATATATCTTCTCCAATTGGAATATTGATACCTTGATCGATATGTTGAGTGTGGTCCGGTGCATCATGAATGGTGTGTTATGAAATATACGGCTTGAGCTGCTAAACGCAGTTAAAGTACAGTGACATACCGATCTGTTCGGATTTCCTCAGTCCATCGAACGTACTTCTCCTCGACATGGATGGAATCCAACTTGCCATCACCAATAAGCCATTGTTTCAGCATGGTCCACCTGTGCAAGAGTGGCTGGATCCTCGATAAATGGTCCCCCAATGTTGTTTTTGAAGAATAGTTTACAACAAAAATTTGTGGTCGAAGAAAAAACATATGAACCCCCTGACCTCTCCCCATCACTGGCCATTGAAAATTTAGCCAAAAGTGGTGCTGCGCAACTTTTGTGGATACATCGCCGAAGAGCTGCATATTGTCTTTTCCTCTCACCTGCATCCATGGAGCTGGGCTCAATCATTTCACTAATGGCATCTTTCTGTTCCTGTGACAATTTCTTGATGCGACTGGTCTTCTCCGTCTTTGCTGTCGACAGGCTGTCCTCTGCGGAAAGCAGATGGTGAAGTGTTTAACTTTTGATCTATGTTCGATCCATAAATCGATATTAATATAATATATAGCTATCACATGCATGGAGCACATGAAGTCATTTCCAGCCCACCCACTAGAGTCCTGCATGGATGATGATGGCGTTGTAGGTCCAGGTGACAAAAGTCGAAGGCTTGACAATGTTCTGACACGCTCCATAGGCTTCTTTAGCTTGCCCACTCCTTCTTCTACATCGCTGGCCACATCCTGCACGGGGGATCAAAAGGGAAACATACAAAGAAACATAATAGATCTCGATCGATATATCAAAACCTCATATTGGTTTTGGATGAACCCAAATAATCACAACCATGGCCCAACCATGAAACCCATCGACCTGGCCTCCTGCTCACTCTCTGGCTCATCCTCCTCAGGAGTCTTTCCATCACGCTTGGTTTTTTTCTTTTCTGGGCTCTCTCCTGTTGGCCCAGCATTACCACGTTTGTCGTCAGGTTTCTTGGCTGCAATCTTTTGGCGTTTGTCTCCAGCTTGTGCAGCTGAATCGTTTGGTTTCCTTTTTGAATGGTCTTTGCCTTTCCTCGAGGCATCCTTTTCCATGCTTTGATCCTCAACATTCCCCTCATGAGGCTTTGTGGGTTCTTCTGCTGCTTCCTTCTTGTTCCCAACCGAAGCCGCTGGGCTCTCTTCATTGTTCTTCTTTTTTTT